CCTTGTCAATTTTCTGTGCCCACATAACATCCAGGCCATGCTTTTTCAAAAGTATGCATCACTCTGTTTTAATGGTTGATTAACAGATGTGTCTTCCCTTCTCTTTGAGTCCCCGTGATGTATGACAAGTGCCAGGAGCATAATAAACATACAATGAATATTTGCTGAGTGAATGAATGAATGATGACTGCATGGATGGATGAAATTTTAACTATTTTAATGCAGTTTTTCATTCAAGTTTTCTGATTTCTTAAATAATTATAACTTTTTTAGATTCATTATATAAAACATAGTTTTATATACATAGGTTTGATGTTGTACTAAAGACAATAGTGACCTTGGGGTGTCCTGAAGTGTAAACTGTGATACTTTCATTATAGGATCTGACAGTCCCTTATGTTTGAGTTCCTGTAACTATATTTCATATATTTTTTAGGATGCCTCTCTCTCTTAGGGCGATGGCATCATCGTATCTTCCCCTAACATCCTTTCTCCAACCTCTAACTATTCTGCCACTTGTACATAAAGAAGAGATAAATGTGTTAGAGTTGTGTCTATAAAACAAGAGTGAGCACCTTGTGGGTTCTTTTAAGAATCAAGTGCACAATACTTGTGCTTGGATACCAATGGCCCCCTTCCCGGAGAGAGCCTGTGTATCACATTGAGAGAAGCAGCCCTTCTTGCTAATTGACCTCTTTGGCATTTTAGCCCAAGAGTACACACCGAACCAAAACCCATCTAGTCATATTTTATCTCTCAGGAATTTGGACTTGGATTATCATGGTGTTGACTCAGTTAGCTATTGAGATCTAAGTAGTAGATCCGAGTAGACTTGGTAGCTGAGACTTTCATTTTGGGGCACATAAATGTGTTAGAGTTGTGTCTATAAAACAAGAGTAAGCACCTTGTGGGTTCTTTTAAGAGTCAAGTGCACAATACTTGTGCTTAGATACCTGGTAGCTGAGACTTTCATTTTGGGGCAACTATGAATGACCACATCCCAAGTGGATAAGAGAAATAAGAAACAAATCTGCAGAGAGGAAAGAAGAAAGTAGATACTCAGACATAAATAGAAAGAAGAGATCGTACAACCGTAAAGAAACAGAAAAAGCAGCCTTGATTCCTGGCTTTACACATCTCTACTCCTATTTCCAGGAAACCCAGCCACACTTAGGATAACTGAGCTCCCTCAGAGTTCCTGCTACTTTAATCAACCTTTTATAGTGAAGCTGGTCCTAGTTCATTTCTCTTCTTTGCAACAAACAGTCCCTGAGACAATGAGAAGAACTATAGTTCAATTGTTGTTTACTATCTCAAGCGCTCACCCACAGTCCTGTAGGGTAGGTATTTTTGTCTCCATTTTATGGGAAGAACTGAGCCTCAGGAAAGTAATTTACTCAAATTTATACATCCAGAATGTGGCAGAGTGGTGTTTAGACCTGGGCTACCTGAAGACGTTCTTTAACCACTGCATCATACTCCTTTTCATGACTCAGTGATATTTATTTGGGGCCTTTGAGCTTCCAGTTTACTGGCTGGCCTGCCATATATGTGAGCTCTGAAAAACTAAAATAGATTTTGACATCCAGAAAATCAAGATATGGAGCTTTAATAATCATTAGAACTAAATTAGACCTTAGTAGCCATATTTTTCAACACCTTAATTTTATAAAAATGGAAACTGAGATACCCAAATCTTAGGTTACTTTTATAAGATTAAACAGTTTTCACACATATTAGATCAGTATTAAGTCGCTGGTACTAGAACTCAATTTTATTTTTGTTCATTTATTTATTTTTTGCATCATCATACCATTTGATCAAATCCCTCTGTTCCAAGATGAACTGATGTGTTTCCACAAGATGATTAACGGATGGGATGTCCATCAACCCTGCCTCTATGTAATGGGGTCACTTTTGAACCTAGAGCACCTCATGCCCCCACCACTCAACCTCAGTTAAACCTTCCTTTGACAATGAGTGCTGTTAGAGAATTTTATATCATGGTAAAGGAGCTATCTTTTTATTGATTAGAATAAGATTTATTCAGTAAGTGTGGCATTGTTTAGAAAACGCCTAGGAAAAAATAGATATCCTTATTTCCTTTATTATTCTCCAGTAATTGAGTGTTTTCTATGTGCAAGGCACTGTGCTAGGCATTGTGGGAGAAAAAAAGAAGTATAACAAACAGTGCTTTCCCTAAAAGTAGTCACAATTCCAACCATTTAAGTGATTTGGAAATGGAATTTAAATGCACCAATTATTATGTAAAGCAAAGCATATGCTACCTTTTTTATTTCCATATATAGGCTATAAAAACAGGAGACATTTAGCAAGGGACAAATTACTATATAAAATGCAAAATGCCTCTACAATAAAAAGTTGTGACTTTAGTTATAGCATGATATGATTTATTCTTTTAGCCTTTCTGATAAGTGAACCTTTGCGTTTTCACATTTTATTCTTAATTTTTAAGTATTGGTGTACGTGCAGTGAATGATCAATAGGTGCAGAGGGCAGTGATACCACAGCGCTTTGAAATTGTTCTGTTAACACCTCTCTCCCATTTTCTCCAGGGACAGCATTTCCCACTCATCCCCCTCTCTATTACAGCTGCCCCTGATGATTAAATATCAGTACCGAACAGCTTTGTAGTGTGTTCTCCTAGGAGACTTCTTCTATTCATTTCTAGCATAATCTCTTATACTCATTTCTTGGGAATGAAAACCCATCTTGTCGCTTTCGGCCAGGTCCCAGAAGTGAAATACTGGGGCACATTAATCTGCCGTGACAGCCTAATCCCATTCCTCGCCACCTCCCAACAATTCTCAATTTCCTAATTACCTTTCATAGTTTTCCTTTTTAAAGTTTCCTGTAAGTCAGGGCTGCACACTTCCTTCCGTTAAGTCTCTTTTTCAAAGCATACGCATATCTCGGGGAATTATGAAGGTACGTTTCCATTTGCACACTTATTTTTTGTGCCTTTGCAAAGTGCTGAATGGCTGTAGGGACAGAATTTTCACTTTGACTTCTTTTTAATAAATTTCCCCTCAGTATGATGCCTTTTCAAAAAGGAAAATCTTTAGTCGTTGGGGTCACCTAATCAATAATGAGCATCATGAATAATCACATGTATAAATATTCCTTGTGCTTCTGGAATTGGGAGACTCTTCTTTTTCTCCCTCTTTTTCTCTCCTTCTCTCCACGCACCATGTGTATTTGTAATATTTTATATATGTAAATATTTTCACTATTATATATGTGTAAATATTTTCACTATTAAAGTATGTGTGCCCATAGCTACTTATATGATGATATACTTAACCACAGACAATTAAAATGAGGTGTGGTGTTAAAGTCAATTTTTTCCATATGTGATTGCTTTTTTAATATTTTTTACATGAAAAGTGGAAGTATACCTTTACATGAAGTATATTACATGAAAGACATGGCCTCTTTTAAAAAATGGTTTTATGATCAAGTAAGATTGGTTAATACTGCATGTCATCGTTCCCCTCCTGCAGAATTACAATGGCTGTTTTCAAATACTGATGGTACTGGGAAATCCCACAATGAAGAAACAGTTTAGCTTTTTAAACCCAGCATTACCCAAATGTATTTTACCATGGACTCTTTGTATTTTTGCTCATAATGCCACTTAACATTACAAAGAACTAATATTCTGTAGAATACTTTTTGATAAAGTTTAGCCTAACAGATACATTTTTGCCACTTATAACAATTATTTTTTTGATGCTGATAACAATTTTAATGGCTGTAGACTCACCCATTTCCATCCCAGGAGATTAACAGCATGTGGGTATGTA